TATTTTATTGACAATTTTTGCATCTATGTTCATCAGGGATATTGGCCTATAGTTCTTTTTTTAGTGGTGATTTTATCTGATCTTGGTATCAAGATAATGCTGGCCTTACAGAATGAATTTGGAAGTGTTCCTTTCTTTTTGTTTTTTTGGAATAGCTTGAGAAGAATAGGCATTAACTCTTCTTTAAATGTTTGGTAGAATTCGCCTGTGAAGCCATCTGGTCCTGGACTTCTGTTTGTTGGGAGTTTTTTGATTACTGACTCAATTTCTTTGCTAGTATTGGTCTATTCAAATTTTCTATTTCTTCCTGTTTCAGTTTTGGTAGTTTATATGTTTCTGGGAATTTATATCTTCCAGGTTGCCCAATTGGTTGGTATCTAGAATTTTATAATATTTCCTTATAATTTTTTGTATTTCTGTGGTGTTGGTTGTTATTTCTTCTCTCTCATTTGTGACTTTGTGTCCTTTCTCTTTTCTTTTTGACAAGTCTGGCTAGAAGTTTATCAATTTTATTAATTTTTTCAAAGAACCAGCTCCTGGTTTCATTGATTTGCTCTATTGTCTTTTTAGTTTCTATATCATTTTTCTCTCTACTGTTTATTATTTCCTTCCTTTTGCTGATTTTAGGTTTTGTTTGTTGTTCTTTCACTAGCTTGTAAGTTTAGGTTGTTTATTTGATTTTTTTTTTCTCACTTCTTGAGGTAGGCCTGTATTGCTATTAACTTCCCTCTTAGAACTGCTTTTGTTGCATCTCAAAGGTTTTGGGCCATTGTGTTTTCATTTTCATATGTTTCCATGTACTTTTTTATTTCTTTTTTTTATTTCCTGGTTGAAGTATTCATTGTTTAGTGGCATGTTTTGTAACCTCCACACATTTGTGTTCTTTTCAGATTTTTTTCTCCTAGTTGACTTGAGATTCTATGGCCTTGTGGTTAGAAGAGATGCATGGTATGACTTCGATCTTCTTGATTTTGTTGGGGCTGGTTTTGTGGGCTATTATGTCATCTATTCTGGAGAATGTTCATGTGCACTTGAAAAGAATGTGTATTTTGCTGTTTTAGGATGGAAGGACCTGAATATATCTTTTAAATCCATGTGTTCCAGTGTATCATTCAAAGCCATTGTTTTCTTGTTGATTTTCTGTTTAGATGATCTGTCCATTGATGTAAGTGGGGTGTTAATGTACCCTACTATTATTATATTACTGTCAATTAGTTCCTTTATATTTGTTATTAATTGTTTTATGTATTTTGGTGCTCCTATGTTGGGTATATATTTACAATTGTTATATCTTCTTATTGGATTGTCTCCTCTATTATTATATAGTATCCTTCTTTGTCTCTTGTTACAGTATTTGTTTTAAAGTCTATTTTGGTGAAATAAGTATTGCTACTCCAGCTTTGTTTTGACATCTATTTGCATGATAGATGTTTCTCCATCCCCTCACTTTCAATCTTCAGATGTCTTTGGATCTAAAATGAGTCTCTTATAGGCAGCATATAGATGGGTCTTATTTTTTTTCCCATTCTTCACCTTATGTCTTTTGATTGGAGTGTTTAGTCTATTTATATTCAAAGTAATTATTGATAGATACGTATTTATTGGCATTTTATTGTGGTTGTTTTTGAAGATTTTCTCTGTACCTTTCTTGTCTTTTTCTCTTTCATGTTTTGTTGTTTTTCTTTAGTGAGCTATTTGAATTTCTTTCTCTTTATTCTTTCCCTTTTTATTACTGGTTTTGATATATGGTTACCTTTAGGGTTCTATATAACCTCCTCTGCATATAGCAGTCTATATCAAGTTGATGATCACTTAAGTTTGAACCCATTCTTTACTACTCTGCTCCCCATGTTTTAGGTATATGGTGTCATATTTTATATCCTTTTCTTTGTGAGCTCCTTGACTGATTTTTTACAGAAATTTTTCGTTTTCACTGCTTTTGTGTTTCCTCCTTTATAGTGTCACTTTTGGTCTCTCTTTTCCACTAAAAGAGTCCCCTTTAATATATCTTGCAGGGCTGGTTTAGTGGTCACAAACCCCTTTAGTTTTTGTTTGGGAAACTCTATCTCTCCTTCTATTCTGAATGATGCCTTGCTGGATAGAGCATTCTTGGCTGCAGATTTTTCCTATTCGGCACTTTGAATATATCATACCACTCCCTTCTGGCTTGTAAATTTTCTGTTGAAATGTCTCCTGCTAGCCTTATGGGCTTTCTCTTGCAAGTTAGTAACTTCTTTTGTGTTGCTGCTCTCAAGATTTTTTTCTGTATCACTATATTTTGCAAGTTTAATTACATTATGTCTTGGTGTGAATCTGCTTTTATTGATTTTGAGGGGAGTTCTCTGTGCCTCTTGGATCTGGATATCTGTTTACTTTCCAGATTAGGGATGTTTTCAGCTATTATAAATTATAAATAAATTTTCTGCCCCCTTTTCTCTCTCTTCTTCTGGGACTCCTATAATATAAAAATTATTAATTATGTTTAATGGGGTCACTGTGTTCCCTAAATCTATTTTCATTTTGTGTAATTCTTTTTTCTCTCTTTTGTTCAGCTTGATTACTTTCCATTACTCTGTGTTGTAATTCATTCCTCTACTTCTGCCATCCTGCTATTCATTTCGTCAAGTATTTTTTTTTTCATTTATTGAGCCCTTTTTCTCGTCTATGTTATTCCTTATCTCTGTGTTGAGAGTCTCATTCATGTCTTCCATTCTTTTCTCAAGTCCAGTATCCTTATGATCATTGCCCTCCTCAGAGCTGGCCTGCTTAGGTTCCACTAACACCAGAGTGAGCATGGACAGCCCACAGCAGGCAGAGAGTCAGTGTAGACAAGTGCACTGAAAGGAAAAGTGACTCAGACACAATAGCAGGGAATAAGCACCATATATAGGATACTGTCCTGAAGTGCCAGGTTCTGGTAAACAGGGGACATTGCACTGCAGGGCATTCCAGGACCTCCTCTTCATAAAGTCAATACTTTCAAGAGTAGAAAACATAGCTGACTTTCTTAAAACACTGAAATAGCTACAAGAGAGGGAGACAAAATGAGGAGGTAGAGAAATTTATCGCAAATGAAAGAACAGGACAAGGCCCCAGCCAGAGATCTAAGCAAAACAGATATAAATAATGCCTGATAGAGAATTTAAAGCAAGGATCACAAGGAATTTGGGACTGGGGTGGTGCCCAACATGATTTATGGAAGAGACTGTCCCGTCTCCTTTGTCAAGTATTAATATGCATTTTTTTTTCTGGGCTCTCTATTCTGTTCTCCTGATTTTTGTGTTATGTTTTTTATGCCACTACCATACTTTCTTGATTATTATAGCTTTGTAATGTAGTTTGAAATAATGAAATGTGATGCCTCCAGCTTTGTTCTTTTTTTTCTCGTGGTTGCTTTGGCTCTGCAGGATCTTTTGTGGATCCATAAGAATTTTAGGATTTTTTTTTTTCTGTTTCTGTGGGAAATGCCATTGGATTTTGATAGGGTTTGACTGAATGGACATTTTAACAAAATTTACTCTGCTGATCCATGAGCACAGGATATCTCTCCATCTATTTGTGTTCTTCAGTTTCTTTCATCAATGTCTTATAGTTTTTGATGTATAAATCTTTCACTATCTTGGTTAAATTTATTCCTAAGTATTTTATTCGTTTCATGCTATTGTATTTGTGTGTCATCCTTATGCAGGGGCAATGCTAATTTTCTCTGTATTGTTGCAATTTTAGTATATGTGCTGTGGAAGCAAGCACTTTTCCATGCTATTATACATGGGATTGTTTTGTCTGATAGAAGTATAGGTACCTCTAATCTCTCTTTCCATTTGCATAGAATATATTTTTCCCTCCCTTCACTTGGAGTCTTATGTGTCTCTAAAGCTGAAATGAGTCTTAAGTAGCATATAGTTGGGTCTTTTTTTAAAAAAATCCGTTCAGCCACTCTATGCCATTTGTTTGGAGAACTTAATCCATTTATATTTAAAATGATTATTGGAAAAAAAATAAAATTATTATCGGTAGGTAAGGACTTAGTAATGCCATCTTGTTGATTATTTGCTGTCTGTTTTATATTTCTTTTGTTCATTTCTTCCTCTCTTCCTGTATTTCTTTATGAATTGATGATTTTCCATAGTGGTATTTCCATAGCCCTTCTTCTTCTCTTGTGTATCTACTATAGGCTTTTTTGTTTTTTTGTTTTTTTTTTAAAGATTTTATTTATTTATTTGACACACACAGAGAGAACACAAGCAGGGGGAGCGGCAGGCAGAGGGAGAGGGAGAAGCAGGCTCCCCACTGAGCAGGGAGCCCGATGTGGGACTCGATCCCAGGACCCTGGGATCATGACCTGAGCCGAAGGCAGACTCAACCGACTGAGCCACCCAGGCATCCCTCTACTATAGGTTTTGCTTTGTGGTTACCTTAAGGCTTACACAAAACATTTTATAGTTATAATAGTATAATTTAAGCTGATTAACAACTTCAATCATATACAAAAACTCTACCCTTTTATTCTTTCCTTTTTATGTTTCTGATGTCACAATTTACATCTTTTTATATTGTGTATCCATTAGTAAGTTGCTGCAGCTATAGCTATTTTTCATGTTTCTTTAATCTATACACTAGAGTTAAGCAATTAGCACATCACTATATTATAGTATTGGAGTATTCTGAAATTGACATATACTTATTTTTACTGATGTGTTTTATTCTTTCAAATGTTATTAATGAAAGTCTTTTCATTTCTGCTTGAAGAGCTCCTTTCAGCATATCTTGTAAGGCAGATCTGGTGGTGATGAACTCCCTCACTTCATGCTTTTCTGGGAAACACTTTCTCTTTCATTTTAGAAGGAAAACTTTGCTGGCAAAGCTCTTGGGGTCCTCTGCAGAGCAGGCCACTGGGAATTGTGATCACTTTCTTTGTATGACTATATTGGTAGCCTCTGCCCTTCTTCCTTGTTCGAAACCATTTCCATAAGTCTTGCCTTTGCCTGTCTCTGAGTAAGATGAAACCAGAACAGGTCGTTTGTGCAGTGCCCCAAAAGGGCGTGGAAGCTGTTCTCTCACCCTGTTCTCCCTTTCCTGGTAAGGGGAACTATTTCAAGCTGGAGCATTCCCTCTTGGTGCTGAGCAATGTTGGCCTGGTGAATGGGATGATGCAGTCAAAATGAAACTGTCTTCCTTCCCTTTTTGTGAGGTTATTCATGGGCTTTTTTGTTCCACTCTGTTGCTGAAGTTCGTTGAATGGATTCCTGAGCTCTCCCAGAACTATTTTTGTTTGTTCATAGCCATCTAACTATTGAACTTCATTGTAGGATGAAGGCTAGAGTCTCCTACTCCATTGTTTTGGTGATGTCACTCTGGACAGTTTCTCGATGTTTGCTTTTAATAGATGAATGCTATTTTGAATACCTTCTTTTGATAGTTAACCCAACTGAAGGACCAGAGAAAACATCTAAATATATTCTACTGTGGGTTTTGGTTAATATTTGAATTATAGTTGCTTTTATAAGAACAATACTTTTACAACATAGTTTTACATATTATTTTGCTTATTTAAAAAATTTATATTAACTGCTCATTGTAATTTTTGTTTTCTTTTTTAAAAGACAATGCCACATCACAAGCTTTGGTTCTGTTTGGTGCCCCTAAGGAAGGTATTGAGATTTTTCATGGAAATAAAATGACAAATACTGAAGGTAAGGACTGAATGTAAGTTACATAGTTATCTTTGTAAGCTATATTTACATTTAGCATTAGTTTGTGATGTCCATATTATATTTTTATTAAGAAATGAATCATAAATATCACTAATAGTTAACATAGTAATGATATATAATATTAAAAGTACAATATTATAATCTATTTTATTAATAATATGTTAATTATATTTAAGCTGTAAGAATTTTTTATAATTTCAGAAATGTTGAATTTTTAAAATAAACATTTTCTTTATTGCTTATGCCAAGATTAGCAGGTGCTAGATCCTTTCCAGTTCATTGAGGATATGTTTCTTAGAAGAAAAAAGAAGCAGGACTAATATTTTTGTGGTGTGAAATCCAGAATTAAGAATCTATAAAACATTAGCTCTATAAAACATTATGTGGAAAGAGGTAGAAAGAGATGACAAAATGCATAGATTTCATGTATGGGGCTCATGCTTATTTATTTTCAGTTTATTTTGTTGAAGAACTCTATATTAATCAAAAAATTCTAATCTTGATTATGATAAACTTCTGCTCTGGAGATTTTCAGTTTGACAGGATAAAATTGGGATAAGGTGACAATCTGATTCTTCATCTATTTCTCTCTGATATCTTTTATCTTCTCTGTCTCTAGAAATGTTGATTAGAATTTTAATCTCCTGGCTTAGGGTTTATTGCCGTAGTTTGCACAAACTTTTTAAAATATCAAATGATTGGTTTATGAAACAGTTAATTCAAGACACTGGAATATACATGTGCTAGTAGGATATAGAGTTATTTAAGACATGATCCTTATATGGAGTGTATAATCTTGCAGGCCAGATAAAATATAACTGTAAACAATTAGTACAACACAACAGAAAAGAATGGTTATATAGAGTAATAGCAGAGATGGCACAAGGTAATTGAAAGTTTCTGTACCCAATTCCAATGTATAAGCATGGGGTCTCCCCACTACCAAGCAATTCTTGGACATGATCAAGGGCCCTACAATTCAGCTCAGTTCTGACACTGTCTACCTGGAAATAGAATTAGATCCCACAAGTTAAGGGCTTAGTGCTACAAGGCTTCCCCTCCCCCCACCGCAGAGGCCAATCAAAGGTCCAGGTTATCACCTGTGCTTCTGACCAACTACTAGAGGTTCCAGTGAAACCCCCTCCTTGGGTTTGCTAGAATGGCTCCCAGAACTCAGAAAAACATTTTTACTTACTAGATTACTGGTTTATTTAAAAAGGATGTAACTTGGGAACAGCTAGATGGAAGAGATGTATAGAGTAAAGTAGCGGAAAGGGTACAGATCTTCCATGCCCTCTTTGAGTTTGCACTCTCCGCAAATCTGCACGTGTTCACCAACCTGGAAGCTCTCCAAACCCTGTCTTTTTGGGTTTTTGTGGAGTCATCTTTATATAGGCATGATTGATTAAATCAGTGGACATTGGCAATTGATTCAACCTCTAGCCCCTCTCCCTTCCCTGGAGGTCTAGAATGGGACTAAAAGTACCAATTCTCCAATCATGTTCTAACTTTCCAATCATATTTCTTCCCATTCTCTTGCTTGTCTTTTCATTCATTTAAATATCTGTTTGAGGGGCGCCTGGGTGGCTCAGTTGTTGGGCGTCTGCCTTCGGCTTGGGTCATGGTCCCAGGGTCCTGGGATCAAGCCCCACATTGGGCTCCCTGCTCTTTGGGAAGCCTGCTTCTCCCTCTCCCACTTCCCTTGTGTTCCCTCTCTCGCTGTGTCTCTCTCTGTCAAATGGATAAATAAAATCTTAAAAAAAAAAAAAAGCTTTAAATATCTGTTTGAGGAGTTGAATGTTTTGTCTTTGATGAAGTCTAATTTATTATTTTTTTCTTTTATGTTTCTCCTCCCTCCGTTCCTTCCTTCTTTCCTTTCTGCCTTCCTGCCTGCCTGCCTGCCTGTACTTTAAAGATATTTTTCTATTATATTCTGGCTTGCATTTTTTTTTCTGATGAGAAATGTAGCAGTTATTCATACCCATGTTCCCATTATGTTATGTTCCCTTTTGTTCTCTGGCTACTTTAAAGAATTCTTTTTTATTATTGTTTTTCAGTAATTTGACTGTGATATTCCCAGATGTAGTTAGTTCTCTTGATATTTTGTTTGGGATTTGCTGAGCTTCTTAGATATGTGTTTTTTCATCAAATTGTGAAATAATGTGGCCATTATTTCTACAAATATTTTTCACTCCAAATTTCTTGTTTTTGAAGAACCTTAACCTTACACATGTTAGATTATTTGATTTTTGTCACACAGTTTTTTGAGGATCTGTTCTTTTTTCATTTTTCTTTCTGTTCTTTAGATTGGATGATTTCTGTCATTTCATCTACACATTCACTGAGTCTTTACCCTGTCCATTTGTTGTCAAGGCCAACCAATATATTTGTTAATTTAAATTTTCATATTTGCAGTTCTAGAATTTCCATTTGGTTCATTTTCATAGTTTTCATTTTTATACTAATCTTCTTATATATTCACTTATTAAGGCCATATTTTCCTTTAATTACTTGAACATATATTTTTTTTACCTTTTGAACATATTTATAATAGCTACTTTAAAATCTTTGCTGTATATAGATAGCTTCTGGGCCAACTTGGTTTCGGTTTCTACTGATTTTTTTCTAGACTTTTAAAACATTTTCCTGTTTTCTTGTATGATTTAATACTGGATATTTGTGTAGTACATTGTGAAGACTCTGGATTCTGTTATCTTTCTCTGAAGGAAATTCTTTTTCTAGCAGGCAGCTCAGTCAATCATTTGATCAACTTAAAAGTAGTATATGCTTGGTTTTATGCAAAAGTGCAGATATATATATATGTGTGTGTGTCTGCACACACACTCACACACACACACACACATACAAGGAATTTACCAATTCCCTCTAATTTGGCTAAATTCTGTCTCCTCCACATATTATATTATAGCTTGATTTTAAACTTTTTTGGGTGGGTCTAGAGGAGGCTCTTACTCTAATGTACAGTCCTTCTTCCTAAACTGTAACACAAGAGAGTGTTCTGAGGCATTGATGAAATCTCTACATTCTGTCAGTACTGGACTTCTAAGGTTTTCTCCTCATCCCTCGCCAATACTCTTTTACCAACACCACTCAGCCTCTAGTGTTTTTGTTCAATCCCATAGCATATGTTCTCTATTAACCTTCAGGTAATTTTGCTCTGCGTACGTGTACAGTCTAGCCCTTATCTACAGATGCAGAGAGCATTCTCAAATGGATTTCTGGGGGTCCTTCTCTGCACGGCTATGTCCTGTTCAGTTCCCTGCCCTGAAGATTCTGTCTCCATTACCCATGGTACTAGTCTTTGCCCTTTATCTCCGCAGGATTTCCATGCTCTTTTCTTACCCCAGATCTCTATATTGTAGTTGAAAAATTGTCCCTTGGCAGAAAGCATGGTGATTTTGGGGCTCAACGTAATGAATTTTCCTTTCTCAGGAATCAAAAGCGGGCATTCCTGTTTTCTAATGTCTGAAAACAGTTGTCTCACATATTTTTTCCAGACTTGGAAGACTGAATCTTTATCAGTTACTCCTTCACAGATGGTAGTGGAAATACTGATTAATGGGGTTTGTGAATGAAGATTTCATAAAGTTGAGAGAACAGAAGCCAGTTTACAGCATGGTAAAATTAAAAAAAGAGGGATTTATTCATTCATTCATTTATTCAACAGTTTTTTAAGGCACTAAACATAGTTTCTCTCCATAAACAATGTAGAACTTCATGGGGAAGATGGATGGGGAAACAGATAAATGTGACACAGTTGAATATTAATAAAGGGATAGAAAATGTTATGGCTAGGTGTAGCCAAATGTCTGAAAGATTCAAGAATTCCTCATAGAGAAAGAGCCATGTAAGTTGCATAGAAATTTCAGTTTGAAGAAGAGACCAGGATATGAGAATATTGTGTCTGCTGGTATAGATTGCTCATTTGAAAAGAATTGTTAGTCAAAGCAAAATTTACTATAAGATAATAGCTGTAGGAAGTTGTCAAACACAGTAATAGGAAGACCTGTGATTACTTAAGGGAAGCAAAACTAAATACATTGAAATTGCAGATTTTGAAAAGCCTGAAGGGAATGGAGATAAGGGAACACTGAACAGAGCCATTTATGTAGTGGTTAGAGTAGATGCAGTCTTTAGTCATCTCCGACTCAAGTCTATGCATATTATTTTATGTATTTAGTGATAAGTGTCTTCAACCTTGTAAGGTTCAATGAAAAGAAAGTAACTCTAATATCATGGAAAGGTCACCCCCTACCCCCCGATACCCCGAGTGGGTAACAAAAACTTAACGGGAGCTTTGTTTCTGTAAAAAAATAAAATAAAATAAAATAAAGTACTTCCTGTTCATCAAACAGGCTTTGCAAAGAGTAGAAATTATTTCTAAACTTGAGAGTATTGACTTTTTCTACATTTTGGAAAGAAAATCAGGATGTTAAAAAGGATAACAGAATGTGAAAAACAAATCTGTGTTGAGAGAAGTTTTCTCCTGAGTACTAAGTTCACGAAAAGGGATGATACAATAACTGGGGTGATGGACATAAAGGAACCACATATTAAAAGCAGGAGAGAAGGAAGGATGGGCTGGGTGAATAAATTACATAAGGATCACATTTACAGAGCAAGGAGAGTTGGCAGTTTATGAACATAGTATTTTTATTTCATTTGCCCACATAATCAGCTGGTCCATATTTTTCCTCAAATGGAAGTTTCATGTTGCAGAGCCTCAACAAACCACAAGTGTAGCCTAGATCCAGGAAGATCTTACTTACCTCTTAGGCATTGATTCTGAGCAAGGAAGTTAAAGTTGGGCAGATGTTTAGAGAGGATGAAAGTCTTGCCTGAGCTTAGGTCTTTAAAGACTCACCCTGAGGGGCACCTGGGTGGCTCAGTCAATTAGGTGCCTGACTCTTGATTTCAGCTCATGTCCAGATCTCAGGGTCCTGGGATTAGAGCCCTGTGTCTGTCTCCAAACTCATTGGGATGTCTCCCTGAGGATTATCTCTCTCCCTCTCCCTCACTCTTCCCCCCCCAAAAAAAAAATTTAGATAAATCTTTAAAAGAAAATAGAGTCACCCTGACAATTTGTGCATAGGCTTCACAAGGAGGAGTTCTGTCAATATGCTTGGCTAAAATCATTAATTAGTTGTATCATGAAATTTTAGGTAAAAACGATTTTATATAACACCCCACCAACCCATTCATTTATTAAGTGAGAAACCTGAGATTGGAGACTGAGTAGTTTTAACTTAAGTATAGTTAGTTATCACTCCAGTCAAAAAGTGAATGAACCTGGACATCTAGTTTAGTGATCTAGGGTATCTCTTTAAGCTGGGTAGAATTAAAAAGAAACAGAAAGGAAAGTTTTAACTTATACTACATCTGTATTAGAATAAAAATAGTGATAATAACTCCTGAATTTTGGTTCTGGGTTGTGCTACTTATGATGTCATGTCTTTTACAGATTTTTAGTGCAAATTTTAACTTCATAGTATTTCATTTTCTCCACTTTACCATATATAAAATGTTAATCCTAAACCATGAGGTGAGGTGCTATGAAAATTAATTAGTATTCACATGATAGGTTTAGAGTAGTACATGCCAGAAAATGTTAAATGAGTCATTACTACCCTGTTTTCTCCACATTTAATGAAGCAAAACAAATGTTTTGAGTATAAGGACAACTGCTCGGTTGGTAAATGTGTGTCAAAACCTTCTTATTTCTAGAGGGAAGGGCAACATGCCCTATTCAAGATATTTGGATAGGAGATCAATATGTAATTTTCACCAGCTTGTTCTTTAGTCCTACGACTATTATGGAGATGAAAATACATATCTATGCATGAACTAAAGAGGAAAGATGGAATATAACACACAAAATATTCATACCAAATATATGTGTTTAGTATAGTCAGAGCAAACTAAGATACATTAGAATATCAGGACTGACATCTTGAAGGAACAATCAAAATTCAAAAACAAATGAAAATATGAAGCATTTGAGATGCCCTGAAATATATTTTTAGGACTGCTTTTCTTTATTTTGCTATCTTTTTAAAAATATAAAAACAACCTTTAAAGTATAGCTTATACTCCAAAGCCAAGGAGATATAGTTCAAGACTCAGCTTTCTCACCTACCAGCTCTGTAGAAATGGACACATTATATAACTTAACTTCTCTAAGCCTTTGTTCCTTATCTATGAAATCAAGGTAATAATCCCATTTCACAAGATTGTTGTGAGGATTAAATAAAATGTGGAATCAAAAGTATTTAGCATAGTTCCATGATTGGCACATATTATTAGTTCTTAAAAAATGTTAAAATATATATGTATTATATAATATATGAGTTAGGGTAAATGCTTTTGTTTATAAGCGAAGGAGATACACTATTTTCACAGAGATTATGCTTTTGGAGGAGGGGTATTATGAGACTTTATTTAAAAGATATTTAGGGGCTCCTGGGTGGCTCAGTCGTTAAGTGGCTGCCTTCGGCTCAGGTCATGATCCCAGAGTCCTGTGATCAAGCCCTGCATTGGGCTCCCTGCTCAGCGGGAAGCCTGCTTCTCCCTCTCTCACCCCCCCTGCTTGTATTCCCTCTCTCGCTGTCTCTCTCTCTGTTAAATAAATACATAAAATCTTTTTTAAAAAAGATATTTAAAAGATTCCTGTTTAAATGAAGGTATTTACTGTCTGGGTTGGCAGTGAAACAAAAACGCACAGGCAACAGCATAAGTTCTCTGTTCTTCAAGGTCAACTGAAATGAGGACATCACACTGTTCTCACTGAGGCACCAAGCCTATTTTGTGTCTTGCATTTAAGATCAGTGATTGCAGCTATAATCCAGCCCAATAGAGTCCTTAGAGGCAAAAGGACTGCAAGTAAGCACTTTGGTGGAGTTTCATGGACAACTTTGCTGTGCTTCTGCAACCTTCAGTTGATTCGGGACATGCCAGGATTAGAATCACTGAGGCACATCGGACTGAGTGGATTTTATGATGAGTACAACTTGAATACTATAGTGGGAACATCAATCACTCTTTGCATGAGACTCCAATTTTCAGAAATGGAAGGTAGAAAATGAGGTTATTATAAGGATGATGGGGACCTGCTTTTATTTTTTTTTTCTAGCAAGAGAAGTTCATGCTGGATTTAAAGAAGAACTTCTTCAATGCATGAGTGGTTGGATATTTACACTGGAAGATGTGGACTCTCTTTGAAGGGAGAATTTAAAATATATTTCAAAGTCATTTTTTAAGTGATTCAGGAACTATTTAGAAACAATTGGATTAACTGGTTTTCTGCCTTTTTTCTTTAGGTTTTTTTTTTTCAATGTTTAGTTCATGACGTTATGGAACACTTTATATAATTATATAATTTTAATATCATTATCATTCTATTATTTTCTGAAATATTTATCAATTTGTTTATTAAAGAAATTTAAAAAGTATTAGTATTAATAAAGCAGAATATTGTTTGCATATTCTGAACATCACAGTTTACTATTTTGTATGTAACTATTAACTAATTTCTGTCTGCTTTATTTTTAAGGGGTGAATAAAGGCATTTACTTTAGCTATCCATGTCGACGGCAAAGCTGTGCTTTAGTAAACATTCCAGCACCATGTGTCAACAAAATGATTTCACACATTGAAGATTTGGAATCTAAAATACAAGAGCATTTGAAACGGGTAAGATTTAAAATGCTAACATTTTTGTAATATCTATAGAGACTATAATGGCTGTTATTTATAGAACTCAGGGAGTAATTTTTTTTAATGATATTGGAATATTTTATAGAAATTTTGCTCAGTTGTGTAATTTACTAATCTAGACATGTTTTTGAAAGTCTCACTTCATAAAGGTGAAACGACCTTACTAAATAGATTTTTTCCCTACCTGTTTGTTCCTAATCCGGAAGCAATCATGCTAAGTAGTAATTTCCATAAGCCCACTTGACTAGTAAATTAAATAGTATTTAAATATTAAATAGTATTTAATAAATACATCGTTTTTAGGGACACTAAACTGATTAGATGATTAGATGAGTAAATTGGTGTGTAGAAGGACAGTGTGCCCTTTTTAATGGATTATTTTGTTCTAAAGAAATGCTTAATAGGTCTGTTGAAAGAGAATGTATTGATTCTTCTTCACCTGTTTGCCTTTATTATTCTTAAGGGACTTCAATCTTGAAATCACTGTAACTTTCAGTTATCTTCAGATGATTTAGGAATGATAAATACCTTCTCATAGCTTTTATTAAGATTATTCTGAACAATTAGTGCAAAATTAGATTGCCCAAGCAGGAGGATAAGTTTGTGCTATTTCTCTTCCCTCACCACCATTATTGGATCTGGCTCTGAGAAAGTTCTGATGGAGCAGTCATGATGCTTCATGTAGGGTGATATCTCCTTCAAGAGGCATTAGAGTTCAGTCCTTAAAATTGCAGACTTTAGAGCCACATGTTCTGTGACCTTAGATAAAAATGGAGGTAATGACATTGTGTTGGACAAAATGCCAGCATATGATATGCACTCAATATATATTAGCTATTGTTATTTCTATAATACTATCATTTTATATTAGTATTATATTTATTTATATTTATTATATTTATTTTTGTTCCTTCTTTGTTTCTCCATATCAGCATACCTTTTCAGAAAATGCTTTATGTGTCATAGGTCTGATGGTGTCCTGGGCTTTGAGAAATATTATTAAGTAGATAGAAGAGAATTAATCTTTATTGATATGATATGCTGTATACTTCACATGTTTTTTAATTAATGATTAGGCTTTTTTTAATAATGAAAATAGATTTACAGATGTTTTAATAATTCCAATAGCTGTGATTATAATAGCTATACTATAATAGCTATATTCATAATTATAATTGCTCAAAACTATTTTTAAATGGTTATTCTTTTTTTCTTAAAGATTTTATTTATTCATTTGACACAGAGAGAGAGAACACAAGCAGGAGGAGCAGGAGAGTGAGAAGCAGGCTACCCCCTGATCAGGGAGCCCGATGTGGGGCTTGATCCCAGGACGCTGGGATCATGACCTGAGCCAAAGCCAGCCGCTTAACCAACTGAGCCACCCAGGCGCCCCTTAAATGGTTATTCTTTTATCTAATTGATAGATGGGGAAATAACAATTTAAACAGTTGAGAAACTTGTCCTAGATCACAAGATAGAATTGGGATTTGAACCCACTGTCTGTTACCAAAACCCATGTTTTTTTACCCAATTCCACTTGGGATTCTGAGCAGCTGATAAACTGTTAAACACTATAGATAATAGGCCAGCTAAAAGATTACTTTAGATAAAATAATTCACAAAGTAAACTGAGATATTTTATAGCTTATCTTCAGGAAAACTGAAAAAAGGAGCATTTCTTAAATAAATATGTTATGAAAATGAGCCAGCTGAATAAATAAAAAGGCCTTATAAAGACCAGCATCTTGGGGTGCCTGGGTGGCTCAATCGGTTAAATGTCTGCCTTCGGTTCAGGTCATGATCCCAGGGTCCTGGAATCGAGCCCTGCATCGGGCTCCCTGCTCTGCGGGAAGCCTGCTTTTCCCTCTCCCACTCCCCCTGCTTGTGCTCTCTCTAGCATGAGTGTGCTCTCTCTCAAATAAATAAATAAATAAATAAATAAATAAATAAATAAATAAATAAAAAAGACCAGCATCAGAGTGACTTGCTTTTTGCTGTCTTCTGGTGCTTAGCTTAGAGCCTGATACATAGTAGGTGCTCAATAAATGTCTGTTGAATGGAAAAAAAATGAGGACCTGAAGCAGAACCTTTGTTTTCTAGATACATCTGAGACACCTATCCACCCAATACAGTAAAGAGCTACCATTTACCAAGCATTTGCTATTTTCTAGGGGCGTCTGGGTGGCGCAGTCAGTTAAGCATTTGACTTGGTTTCAGCTCAGGTCCTGATCTCAGGGTCCTGAGATCTAGCCCCATGTTGGGCTCTGTGCTCAGCGCAGTGTCTGCTTGAGATTCTCTCTCCCTCTGCCTCTGCCGCTACCCCCTGTGCATGCAGTCTCTCTCTCTCTTTCCCTCTCAAATAAAAAATCTTTAAAAAAAAGTAAAAAAACAAAAAACATCTGCTATTTTCTAGTCACTTACCAAATATATATTTCTGTTTTTGTACTTCACAGGAATCCTATTTTATTGGTAAAAATTCTAATATTTAGGAAAGTCCAGTAATTTATACATCATCATACAGGTAGTAAGCATTAGAGTTAGAATTTGAATCGAGTTCCTTCTGACTCGAAATCCCCTTTCAGTTTTTATTTTGTAATCCTTAAGGGCAAAAGAAGGCCTTAATTCTCACATTGACATGGAATGTTAGTTGGTATTTTGACAACATGAAGTACACAAATAACAACGTCAGATAAATACACTTCTAGACAAAAACTGTAATAATGATAATAATGTGTTAACAAGTAAATATACACATAAACTTTATTTGAAAGATTAATTGTGAAATTAATGCTCATAACTTTTCTTTAAAAAAATTCAGGACTTATTTTAGGCTTTTTCTATTTTCTAAATTTAAAAAAATGTTATTTTATTTTATTTTGACTACATATTTGGTATTTAGATTTGCTAGTGTTGAACTGATAAAAGAGTATATTTGTAGAGTATATTTATTTATGTTTCTTATGCTATATTTTTTGTTTAGGTCACCACAACTATTCAACTATTGATTAGACATTTAATTATATTTGAATTAATATTTTGGGAATGAAATGGTAGCCACCTATCTTATTTAAAGATGAATTTTTTTTTTCTCTGACTAACCTACCAAAATGAAAAGAACTTTACAATATTACTTGGAAAAATGAACTTTTGGTAGTACTGGTTAGACAACTTTACATTCACAGTCTTTATTGAAAAATTTTTTTCTTTTTTCTTTTTTTTAAATTTTATTTTATTATGTTATGTTAATCACCATACATTACATCATTAGTTTTTGATGTAGTGTTCCATGAACAATTGTTGAAAAACTTACGTGTA